CTCCAGGCCGGCGGCCAACAGAAAGGCGGGCCAATAGATGCCGTGGAACTTCAGTATGTCCTTTCCAATGACCTGCTGCGCCGGCGGCCAATGAGCCAGATACTACAAAGGCGAAAGATAAGCTCTAGTCAGCAATAAGTCCAAAATTCTCTGATATAGTTGCGCTCACCTGTTCATTGGGATAGCCCAGGGAGCTGAGATAGTTAATCAGAGCATCCAACCAGACGTATACCGTTTGCGTCTCGTCATTCGGTACGGGAATGGCCCAATGCACACGATTCGCTGGCCGGGAGATGGACACGTCGGGCAATGGTTCGCTTAGCGTATCAAGCAAAATCTTTTCAAATTTAGCGGGGCGAATGCGCGCTTCCTGCTGTACCCAGTGACGCACGTCATCCTGAAACTGGGACAAGCGAAACATGTAGTTCGTCTCCTCAGTCCACTCCACGGGATGGCCAGACTCTAAGGAATAACGGGCTCCACTTGCTTCATCCAGTCGCAGCTGCGAGTCAGTCAGAAAGGTCTCATCAGAAACGCAGTACCAGCCGCTGTATGCCGCCGAGTAGATATAGCCACGCGATTGCAATCTGTGCTGTGGAAGATACAAGATAGTTAATGGGCATTAGCAATCAGCAACTGGACTAACTCACCCAAAAATCAGATACGGCCAATTTATGTCGCTGCTCGGTGGTGCGAATGAAATCATCGTATTCGATCCGCGCCGCCTTAAACACTTCACGATAGCGCGCGGAAATCTCATCGCAGTATTGCCCCACAGGCACCTCGTGTGCCGCTGCCGCCTGTTGAATCTTTGTGCCGTGCTCATCAGTACCGGTGCAGAGGCGCACTTCAGTGTCCGGATAACGCAGTCGGTGGTACCGGCAATGTGCATCAGCTATGACCGCTGAGTAGAGATGTCCAATGTGTGGAGCTGCTCAAGGGAATTCAGGCTGATTACACTCAAACTGTTATTCAATATGCACGCGCCTTACGCGTACCTGCATTAACGTAGAATATTGGCGTTGTAACGTAGTGGGAGCTTCTGCAACGGACTCCAAGTTGTTGGATGTGCCTTATTTTACTAAATACCATTTTAAAACAAGCGCATTACTTTTTGCACTTTATAAATAAACTAAAATAACAATTTGCCGGCTTCTTTAGCTGGGTCCAGCTGTTGCCAGTGCTGCCCATCGGTTCAATAACAGATGAATTGCCATAACAGCGAGCATCAGCTGTTAATAACAGCTTGACAAATGTAATTTAATATACTCTGCAATCAGAACTGTTAATAAGCTATTGGGACTTTTGGCAGTGCTGCCAATAATTCAGCGCTAGGGAAATTTATTTTTGAACAAAAATCCCTAATGAGAAATGCAACACCAAATTTTAATTATGTAACGGCTCATAGGAATTCAAACAAAACCAACAAAAACATAATAGGTGGACTATAAATATCAACTGAAGCTAACAAAAGTTTGTAGCTTATAAAGAGATTAAATGCAATCACAACTTCTTGGTGGCAGAACCAGATTTCATTGAATCTTTTGCTTGATGCCAACGAGTAACCATGCGACGATTTCTGGCAGCTTTTTGTTTGGCCTCGACTGCTGCACAGGCTGCTTTATATGCAGCCTTCTTCGTCTTCTCAAAGTCCTGCTTCGCCTCGCTGAGCTGGCGATTGAGGCCCTCCACGCGATTCTTGGCCGCCTCCAGGAGTTGTGTTTTCTCAGCCAGCTCCTGCTGCGCACCGTTTGCCACATTCTCAATATTGGCCAGATTTGCCGTGAAGGCGGCTACCAAGCGCTTCAACTGATTGAGCTGGGCTTGCGACTCGGCGACAACTTGTGAGGCGGTGTTGGCATTCGCCTGTGTGGTCTGCAGTGATGTGGTGATGTCCGCCACCACGGCATCCGCTTCGGTCATTTCCTGCTCCAGTTGCTCCACAATCTGTTGCTTGCCGGCCAGCGCTGCCTCGGCGGCACGTGCCGACTGCGCCGCCCGCTCGGCCAACTGCTGCTTGACCTGTGTGGCAGCTGCCTCTGCGGCGGCCATTTGCGCATCGCTGGCGGCCCTCGCCTCCTGGGCCGCCTTCTGGGCAATATTCGACGCCTTTGTCTTGGGATCACTTTTGTCCAACATATTGGCGGTCTTTTTGTTGCAGCCGTCATCCGAGCACCCGCTCGTATCCTGTTCGCCAAGAGCTCGCTCTTCCCTCTTAGCAGGCTCGTCATAGCTGTAGCTGCTCAGCCGCGGTATCGCTTGCAGCAATAGAAGCAGCAACAGCAACACGGTTCTATAAAACATATTCTCAGCGACTTCACAGTTTTGTTGCCAGTTTTCACATTGACTAAGTTTTCACAACACGGGAAATCCAAATACTCCAAATATCTATAAGCCTATGAATCAAAGCAGAATCGATATTAACGTCCATTGCTCCATGTTTGATATCGTATTTTATATCGCATCGCAGTTTACGATATTCTCAAATTTCCGCAGGAAGTGACGCCATTGATGCCCCCACATAAATCTTATCACAGCAGATTCTTTTAGAAATCATTTAGTTTATAAAATCGAATTTTATTGAAATCAATATTTCCCTAATCTTGTCATCAGGCATAAAGTCGCAGACATTGTGCAGTGTCTGCTGATAAAAAATATACAATATGAGATAAATGGTCAAGGAGAAGGCGATTTTGGATCTGCGGCTTTACGTCGAGTCCTCTGCGCCTTCTGCTTGGCCTCGACCGCCGAGCAGGCTGCTTTGTAGGCCGCCTTCTTGGTCTTATCGTAGTCCTGCTTGGCCAAGTTCAGCTGACGCAATAGGCTGTCCACTCGATTCTTGGCCGCCTCCAGCAGCTGCGTCTTCTCGGCCAACTCCTGCTGTGCGCCGCCCGAGACGCTCTCGATGTTGGCCAGATTCGCAATGGATGCCTGCACCAGCTGCTTTAGCTTTCCGAGTTGGTTCTTTGCCTCGTTGGCCGCATCGTTGGCCGCTGCGGCATTCGCCTGTGTATTCTGTAGGGAGTTACTTACGTCTTGAACGACCGCCTCGGCCTCGCGATGCTCCGCCTCCAGTTGCTCCATGATTTGTTGCTTGCCCGCCAGAGCTGCCTCGGCCGCGCGGGCCGATTGTAGCGCCTTCTCGGCCAGCTGGATTTTCACCTGCGACGCAGCTGCCTCTGCGGCGGCCACCTGTGCATCATTCGCCGCCTTCGCCTCCTGCGCCGCCTTCTGCGCAATATTTGTGGCTTTTGTTTTCGGGTCGGTCATCCCAATGGAAAGAGCGCCAGAGCAAGTCTTGGTTTCACAATCCTGACCAGCGCCAGCGTCTTTCGGAGCACCCGAATCCTCCAGCTTCACCGTGTCCGGATATATATCGAGGCTACGTTTGCTGGAGGCCTGGCAGCCCACGTTAAATTCTAGCTAATTAGCCCAATCACATTCTACTGACCTTGTCGCGCGCTCCGATCTTATAGCTCTGGGATAAACAGCCGAAGTTAAGGACCAGTAATACGTATATATAGTGCATTGTGCTAGCCCTTTTAAGTTCATTGTTTCGATTTCAAGTTTGACGACTAAAACTTTTATAGAGAAAATAAAACATGTAGAAGTGTTCTAGTCAACACTGCTCGACTAGAGGAACCCTATCCTATCCTATCATTCTGAGCTACACACACACATATGCGCACGCAGGCAAAAGCACGGTAGCCTTATTATAGATGGATATAGATGACGACCTGGTCGCTGTCTCTGCGAGTACAGGTTCCATAATATCACTGATCTGTGGATCTGTGGATTGGGACATAGCTGGCAGGTCTTGCCAATAGAGTAACCCCATGAAATTGGTGACATTATTTCAATATATATTTCACTGTTCTTAATCGGGCTGTACATTATACTTGTTCAAGAATGATTCATCTCAACACCGTCTTTCCGAGGCAGGTTTGACCTTTATAATGTGCAAGAATGTTTCAGTCTTCTACAATCTATAACAGATATACAAGAAAATTTATTTTTGCATCTTTGATGCTATAAAGCTTAATCAACATTATTCGATTGCTTAAAATCATTCACAGTTCGATTGCAATTATTCTGACGCCGACTCCTTTGCGCCTTCTGCTTGGCATCGACTGCGGCACAGGTTGCCTTGTAGGCGGCCTTCTTGGTGTCCTCGTAGTCGTTCTTGGCCTTCAGCAGCTGGCTGACCAGGGTTTGCTGGCGATTCTTGGCCGCCTCCAGCAGCTGGGTCTTCTCGGCCAGCTCCTGTTGTGCCCCAGTCGATATGTTCTCCATGCTTTCGAGATTCTTGGTGAAAGCTCGCACAAGTTTCTTGAGGGTTTCCAGTTGGCTCCTTGCCTCGACGATGGCGTCGCTGGCAGCGATAGCATTCGCCTGCGTATTGTGCAGCGAGCTGCCAACCTCCTGCACCACAGATTCGGCTTCGCGGTTCTCCAGCTGCAGTTGCTCGAAGATCTGCTGCTTGCCGGCCAGAGCGGCCTCGGCAGCGCGTGCGGACTGAAAGGCCTTCTCGGCGAGCTCCAGCTTCACCTGAGTCGCGGCAGCATCCGCCGCTGTCATTTGTGCATCATTTGCCGCCTTTGCCTCTTGAGCCGCTTTCTGGGCAATGCTGGAGGCCTTGGACTTGGCATCTGATTTGCCAATCGAAATTTTGCAGTCCTTGGTGTCCTCTCCGCCTCCATCCTTTTTATTATTACATTCCTCGGCCAGCCGCGCAATATTTGGAAATATCTCAAGGCTACGTTTGTTGTAGATCTGTCAGTTTGGGTTTGATTCAAACTGGAAAGGGAATATCGCACTACTGACCTTCTCGGACGGCCTGATGACAGAGCTCTGGGATATACAGCCGATGTTTAGGACCACAAATACGGAAATATAGAGCATTGTGCCGCCCTTTCCATATTCATTATTATGAAACACAGCTGTCAAGTGGCCCCATGTTTTGAAACTGAGAAAGTGAAAAATGTTTGTTAGTACGGAAAATGCGACTAAACTTTCAAATCATGTGGTTCATTATATTGTCGTCTGTTACACAAATAGAATTCGCTTCGGGCTACTCATCCCGCCGGGATCTGCATAGAGCAGCGCATCAGGCTCGGTTTAAGCGGCTATTGAACCACAATAGCAAATTCGTCGACGACAGAGGCAGTTTCCAGGGCACTGGGGAGAGGGATCACTCGGGCTGTGACAATGATGGCGACAAGCCGTCGCCCCAACCCAGACCCAGAAAGTTGAACTCGAAATCCCATGGGACGGGCATAGCGATGAAAGCAGCGATAGAGGCTAAACAGGCCAACGATGATATGGAGAGTGCGGTGAAGGAGGCGTCCGATCGGATTAAGCTCGAGTTTTCGGAGAAGGCGGCCGCAGCTGCCAGGGCGGCGGAAGCTGTGCTGTCGGGAAAACTTCAGGTGCTCGAGCAGCTGGAGATGGAGGTGCGGGAGGCTGAGATAATTGTGCAGGAGGAATCTTCGGAGCTCAGCTCAGCCGAGTCGAACAGCCAGTTGGCGCTCAAAGCACATCGACAAGCCCAGGAGGAGCTGAAGCTGCTTATCACCGGCCAGAAGCTGGCCAGAGAGAATTGCGATAGCGCAGAGCAGGTCTCGGCCGCCTGCCAGCAGTCCATGGCGGACAAGACCAGCCTCCTGGAGGCAGCCCAGAAGCGCGTCTCCGTTCTGCTGCGCCAACTGAGTGAAGCCCGCAACGACTATGCCAAAACCCAGAAGGCCGCACGCAATGCACTCTGCGCGGCCAACGAGGCGAGGCAGCGAATTAATCACGTCAAACCCTGAGCTAATCGAAGAAATTTGTCTCTCAAGGAGTTGGTATAATTTCCTTAAGCATACTTGTGTATATATATATTTTGTATTGATCAATCCGTAGAATAAGAGCAAACCCACATAATCCGTAGATCCTCATTTGAGTTCCTCAATGTTTGCATATGGTTCACCATTTGCCAAGAAAAAGCAACAAACATTGTTTAAAATAATTTATTCTGTAGTTTATTAAACTTTTTTCTTTAGGGAATAAAAATATAAAATTCCTTGACGTCGGGCAAAAAGTGCCCGCGTCTGAATGGCTGCCAAAAATGCTGTGGAACTTTGCCTGTACATTCGTATGCTTGCTAGCTTTCGTATGATTCCGAACCGAACTATGTAAGTTATACTATAGATAATGTGGTTGAATTAATCAAACCGACTTTTGACAAAAATACAAATATAAAACGAGCTAAAAGTAGGCTTAACCGAATCAATACATATTACAACTAGTAGAATACAAGGGAGCTGCTTAATAAATAAGGATTACTTGTAAAAGCCGGCAATAAGAGGCTGATGTGACGCATACAAAATAAAAGAACAATTTTACATATTTAAACTAGTTATAAATTTAGAACACAATCTTTTGTTTTTAAGCGACGACAAACGAATTACACGAATTTACATAGAATTTAAAAATCGATAAGAAATACATAAATAAATCGCACGAATACGTGCTCATTTGAAAACTATAGTATAATTATGCGTTTGTCTGTCACTTCTTAACAATTACATTGGTGTTTTCTGTTCACAAAATAATTTCAAAGGTGATGCTTAGTTACTTCTCGCGTAGCCAATACTAACATACATATGTGTATGTGTGTTTGTGGTGTGTATGCATGTTTAAGTATATATGTATATATATATATTAGATTAGGCCATTGGATTATTATTATTTGTAATAGTTAGTTAGTTAGTAAGTTCAATTGCAACAAACATAAATACTCAATTTGCAAGTGCGCATATATCTACATAAAATAGTTGAATCTGCTTCTTTTATAATTAGAGATTTGTTGCTTCTTATGCATAAATATTTAATTACCTAACACTTTATATTTAATTCAATGTTCATTTTTGTTTCTTTATATACAATCTAACACAAGCCCCTGTAAATAATCATTAAATGGTTGTCCACCGATTTGGCCATTCATGGATTGATAATCTGACCAAACAGGTATACATATATATTGATCTTGATCGCGTGATTTGCAACATTATTATGCCTAGGTTAATTATTTTAATATATATAGAATCTGTCAAGCCTTAATATACTGAATTTCATATCTGGTAGCTAATACATATGTATATATAATGCATATATTTTAAACATAGTTCATATACAGTTAAACCATCTTCGCAGAATACTGAAATCATCGAGTTTTTCCATATTATTATGTGTGTGTGTGTGAGAGTGTGTTACAGTGTAAATCTACACACTTTAGATACATGATAAAATATATATTTCGTACAGATTATATCAATGGGTTTGCCATATAGATATGAGCACAAGTCGCGTTATATTATTAGAATATTAGTTGTTTATATACGAATATGTATGGGATATATATTTTATATAATATCAACGTTTAACTCTTACGTGTACAACTGTTTTATCTACGTCTACTTAAAATATATGCTATCAAATGAAATGTATCACGATTGACCAAAAATAAGATCGAAATAACCGTTAACTACACATGTTGCTTGTTTGTCGTATTCTTCATTGAGTATGTCCTGGACGAGCGCGCTGCGCCGTCCATTATTTGTATTCTATATATGTTTCTATATGCATTTTGGATCTGGCCTAGTTTAAGTACTTGCGGCAACGCTTTGAGCCGCATGAACAGGGAATTTTCTCATCCTCGAATGGAAATTTGTAGTCATAGGTCAGCTCCTCGCCCTGCACGATGCGACGCAGGGCGAAGATGATGATGTGCTTGTGTCCAAGTATATCGACGACTTTCGAGTAGCAATTCGGCTGTGAAAGACAAAATCATTCCAATTATGTTATCTATTCATTCAACCTAAACCAGTACCACTCACCTCACAAGAGTGATTGATAAAACGTGCCGCATTGCCACGCATTGTGGCATCCACAACGAGATTGTCGTCAATCTTGAACATGTAGCAGCCAATTCCGCGGCTGTCATAATATCGCTCCCGCTTGTCCGTCAGCGTAGAGCGTATCAGTTCTCCAGCGTACTCGATAACCATTTCACCTGTGGAAAATTAGTTGCTCAACAATTAGCTTAAATTCACAGAAAGTTCAAGGACATTACGCACCCGCTTCGATATCTTTAGTGCAGTAGAGACCACGTCCATGGATGTGAGAGCGGAAGACGCCCACGTAATCCTTGTAGGTCTCCTTCAGCGTACGGTACTTCATGGCCATGGGAAGATTGCTTCCAGTTCCGCGTCTACAAAGTAAATCATGAATTAGTTCAGTTCGCATATCACTCAAAGCGATGTGACCTACCTGGGCACCAGTTCGTTATCGGAAGGCTGCACAAACACCTGGATGGGCTGCTTGCGATGCCTGGACGCCAGCCAGCTAAACATGTCGTATTCTGAGCGACTGCTATAGGGCTCACAGCGTGCACACTCGTATGCGTTCTCCTGCAGCTCCTCCTGATCAGAGCCGTAGTCTATAATCGGCTGGCCATCCGTTCCAGTGCCAAGAAGTGCTGCACTGTTGCCAGACGCCCCGCTGACCGCATGCCCAGCTCCGGCAGATGTGGACACGTTCCCGTTACGCTTGTGATACTTGGGCGTGTACTTGACGCACTTCTCGACGCCCGGCAGTTGCTCGATCAGATACTTGAGGGCGTTCGTCTTAAGCCCGATCATTTGCACTCCGCTCATGTCGGCCAGTGGTCCTTCTGGCAGAGGCGTCAGACCGTGAGCTCGTCGTGCCACCTGCACAGCTTCGAACACCTTCTCCCATATCTCGGCAATCGAGCTCGACTTGTAGGTGAAGCCGTCTTCGCTTTGTATCTCGTACAGCAGATGGGGTCCACTAATCTTCTTGGGGTCGCGCACTGGCGGCGGCTGCTGTGGGGCAGCGGCTGTGGGCATCTCATTAGGCTGCACGGCATCTGGCTGCTGTGGCAGGTCGAGTTTGGGTTTCTTCAGCTCCAGCTCAACGCCCGCTTGTAGCTTCAGCTGCAGCTCGTGGGCCTCGGCCATTTCGTTGATGTAGCTGGCCGCTGCTTCCACTGCAGCCGTCTCCTCAGCTGTGGCCGTGAAAGCTTCGTCATCCGTAGCCACTGAACCGGCGCCAGTCGTGGCCAGCACATCCTCGACCATTTGCTGATAGCCAGCGCTCGCTTCGACTGTGGTTGCCGTGGCTATAGAATCGGCACAATCATCGTTTGTCAGGTTGTCCAGAATCTTGCTGATCTTCTCCTTTACCGCCGGCTCCTCGCTATCGGACATTTCGTGATCATTGCATGCCGACGTTGCCATCTTCAAGCTAAAGTCATCGTCGTCTTCCTCCTCCTCATCGGCATCATCCACTTGACTCAGCCCCTCAGTTCCGTTGCCGTTCTTCAGCCTGTCATAATGATCGTCCGTCTCCATGGGCACAGCCTCCACATGGAAACCATTCTTCTCCAGCAGGCAGCTCTCGTTAGATGTTAGCTGAAAGCCATTACTAACTATATCCATATGCTGTTGCTGTTGTTGTTGTTCTTGTTGCTGCTGCTGTTGCTGTTGGCATGAGGTGGAGTCAATGAGCATGAGATCGTTGGCTTTCGGTTTCTCCAGCTGTGGCTGTGCCTCCGACTGTTTCTCGAAGATGTGTTCACTATAGAGCGGCTCCTGTTGCTGCTGCTGCAACTGCAGCGTCGTTATGGAATTCGTCTGCACCAGACTATCCAATGTGGTGCTCGTCTTCAATTCCGCCTCGTAGCCAGGAGATTTCTGCTCCTGCTGCGCGTAGCATTTGAGCACTGCCTTCTGCGTGGATGCGGCCGCAATCACTGGCTCATCTATGGGCTTGGGTGGCGTCGGCGACTGGACCACGGCGTCGCAGTTCAGTGGCGCCGGCTCCTGCCGCTGTTGCATGGGCAGCACCCGATTCGTGGGCCGGCTATTTATCGTAATGCTGTTCTGCGGCGCCGCAGTGGTGCTGTTGTTGGTGGTGCTAACAGCTATCGGCTGCTGCAGCTGCAGAGGATTGACCACATTCGTGGGTAACGAATTGCTGGTATAGTGCTGCAGCCTCGTAGGATTGCCATTGATGAGAAGATCCGGCTGCTGCTGCTGCGTCTGCTGCTGCAACTGGTGTGGTTGTTGGGATGGCTGCTGCTCCAGCAGCTGTATGGGCTGTGCCTGCACCGTCGGCGTAATTACAAACTGGGTGGTTGCCTGGGGCTCTGATGTGTTCACTATGCTGATGATCGGCTGCTGTGTGGGCAGCAGTTGAGGCACGGATAGCTGCTGCTGCTGTTGCTGCTGCGGCTGTAGTTGCTGCTGCTGCTGCTGTAATTGCTGTTGCTGGAGTGGCGCGGGCAGGCGCTGTTGTAACAGCGCCACCTTAGGCATCTGATTAGCCACCGCTGACGGCTGCTGCTGCTGCTGTTGTTGAATTGCAGCTGCCGAAGTGGGTAGCTTGGGTGCCGGCTTCATAAGCTTTGGCTTCACCTCAACCTTGTGAATGGGCCTGATCAAGTTGGTTTTCTTCTGCAGTGGCTTCGAGGCTATGCTGGGTGGTGCGCCGCACGTGGTGCCCGTCTGCTGCTGCACCGCTGCCTGCTTGCTCTTCAGCTCATTTGACAGCTGCTGCCGCTGAAATTGTGACGTATGTTTCACATTCAGGTGACTCGTTTGCTGCTGCTTTGGCTGCGGATGATGCTGCTGCTGTTGTTGTTGTTGTTGCTGTGACTGCTGCTGATACTGTTGCTGTTGTTGTTGCTGTTGCTGCTGTTGCTGCTGCTGTGTAACGACATTGGTGGGCAGCACTTTGTTGACCACTTGGGGCTGCTGTGGCTGCGGCTGCACCTTGCTGAGCATCGAGATGTTTGCCTTTGTCGCGTTTGCATTGCGCTTCACTTGTGCCACCGGCGGCACCTTGGCCGTAACCACCATTGGGGC